TTCTGGCAATCTATTGGATACCCGATAGATGATAGAAAAAGATTCTTCAGTGTTACCATTGTGGCCTTTTTGCACAACGTGGTGGTTCAATAGCGAACTGTTATTATTTATTATTATTGTTCCCTTGGGTTCCTAGTGGAACATAGGGCTTCAACTGCACGTCTTCACTTGTTTCTGTCTTATGCTGTACTTTTCACCTGCATCCATGTCGGTCCATACTGTTTCAACTCTTCTTCACACAACCTCTTCCATGTCACCCTTGGACGTCTCACTCGCCGCTTCCCTTTCGGGTTCCACTCGAGCATTGGCCTGACGTGCGATGTCAACCAGTGGCCTCCTTAGCGAGTGTCCAATCCATCTCCAATTTCTCCTGCATATTTGTTGGGCGATTGGTTCTTGTTTTGTTTGTTCCCATAGTGTCTTATTGGTGATTCTTTCCGGCCATCTGATCTTCAGTATAGAACGAAGACAGCTGTTGATAAAGGTCTGCAACAGGCTGTTGGAAATATTCTTTGTGACCCGCCGCCAAGTTTCTGATCCGTATAGAAGAACTGACTGACTTGACGTTTGTATTGAAAATCCGAACTGTTGATGGCTTTTTAATACACCTTTGTTTCGCCACACACTGGTAGGTATTCCATAGCACATAAAAAATAACTTCCTTGAGTGAAGCCCTATATATAACTGGTTCCACAGGAGTAGTCCGATTGATAAATGAAAAAAGAGATGGCTAGCTTAGGTATTTCGTCTTTTGCATTTCGGAATCAAAAACACTCTTATAGAAAGTATAATTTACACCTTACCGACATTAGCAGTTCTTCAAATCGATTTTATCAATATGTTGGGTTCCAAGTGAAAAATAGGGCGTCAAAAGCACATCTCCACTTTGTTCTTTTCTGCTGTCCCCTTTAGCTGGCCACATGATTGCCATACTCCCTTATCTCCTCCTCACACAATCTCCTCCATGTCACCCTCGCACCGATGACCCATTCGTCGCTTCCTATTGGGACTCCACTGGAGCTCTGGCCTGCCATGACATGTCACTCGACGGCCTCCTCAACATATGTCCGATCTATCTCCATTTTCTCCTACAGATTTGTTGATCAATCAGTTCTTCGTTGGTTTCTTCTCAGAGTTTCTTGTTGCTAATCCTTTCTGGTCATTTGATCTTCTGTATGGCGCTGTTGATAAATGTGCGAAACTTGTTCGAAATTTTTTTCGTGACGCGCGTCTTAAGTTTCTGCCGCATATTGAGGAGCTGACTGACTTCAAATTTGTGTTGAATAGAATCCGAATCTTGTTGTTTATGCTGTGGAGCGAAGCAGAAGATTTCCAACCAGATTTCAGATTGATGAAAGTGTACCTTTCCTTTCCTATTCATATATACACACTGCTACTTGTTAAATCAGTAGTCTTTATGTAATCATACATCTATAATTCTCTCTCTCTATGTGTATATATATATATATGTGCGTCGGCGGCACAGCGGTAGACTGCTCGCCAACCACGCCTCATCTGGGCCGGGGTTCTATCCCCGGTCACCGACCCACTCCTTTACCTCGCTAAGCCCGGTAAAAAGGGAAAGTTGGGCACGCTGCTAGCAACCTCATATATATATATATAATATATACAGTCCAAATCCATGATGCATAACATATTAATATGATTTGAGGCGGTAGTAAGTTCAGAAATGAGGGAAATATTGGGCTTTAGGTTGACAACTCCACCCACATAGAAAACACCACCACAGCGAATGAAACTTCAATTTTAAAGTCAAATAAAAATATCCAGATAGGATTCACTACCGGTCAATGTGAGTAGTTTCTAACTACTCATCCGAATCAGTAGTATATATATACATATATAGGTGACCACCATATTTTACTTCATTTCTTGGTTTCTATTCATCGTATCCACTAGATCACACTTTGTCATCTGAATGTATTTGGATTTCTAAACAAAACTGTAATTGCAACTTAGGTTGGACTGTGCAATTTCCAGCTAACAAATTTGCTCGACAGATTGATGAGTTCCTTGTTTAGTGGCTTTTCATAGCTTTACAGAGTTGCATCTTCTTCCAGATTCTGCTATCGCCAAAGTCTGTGTAACATTGCCTATTTGGGAAATATTACCCTATACAAATTTGTGGTGATTCACAAACACTGTCATTTCTACAAAATTGAGACAGCTAGTCTTCACACTGTTCATTTATATGTTGAACAATTAGTGTTTGTGTTTTTTTCCTTCTCTGTGTTAAATTCAATTTTGGGCGGTACCTTTTGATGTGATAATTTCCGGTCATATCTCTTAGAATGTAACTTCTAAAGATTAAGGTAAAGTATAACAGCCACCCCGAAGGACCTTACAGCTGACCTTATTAATTAAGCGACTAGTTAGAAATAAAGAACAATAAAAGTCGTAAACTTGTTAAGCAAAAAGTAACAAAGTTAAAGAATAGCAAGCGATTCAGGGAGGACAAACGCGCATCAATGACCTCGGAAAGATCGACTGAATAAGCGCGGTTCATTTGCGCTAAAGAAAAGAAACAGTATAAAGGTATTCTGTTTAGCATTAGTGCCCCGCCCTATTACAACATTTCTTTGCGAATATGGTGTTATTTTAACCCTGTTTCACAACCTTGGTCTGTTTGGAAGTGAATAGGTCATGGGTGCATTCGTTCCCTTGGATTTCTATCCCTTAATTTGGCCAGAAAGGTGACTGCTGGTCATGTTACTCTGACATTTTTCTAATATTTCTGTTACTATTAATTTATCTACCCCAAAATTCGAATCTTCCTAAAACACCAGTTACTCTGTTAAGCTTTCTCTGTATATGCACGCTCCAGCGATCATTTCCAATTGATCACTCAGTAGTCAAACAGAAGGTATTAATTGATTTGGTAATACCACCTGTAAGTCTAATAGGTTGTCGAATGTCATGGCTGCTATAGTTTAACCTCTGCCGACTGAATGAATCCTGAAGACATAATATGCATTTCGAATGCCTATACTTGGTCAAATTTATATGATTAGATAGTCACCCGTCATGGTCACATAAAGTGGTTTACGACCCGATTATTAAGAAGCCCTAGACGTTTATGTTTCATGCCTAGTGACAGTCCTCAGGAATGGCTTACCTGAAACCACCGGAGCCGTCGGCAGTAATCAAAGACATCACCAGTGAGCTATTCAGGCTATCGATTGATTTTCTGTTGCGTTGATCTTTAATGGATACATTGATTGTTGTTCATGTGTCTACTCTCTAGTGCTAGCACTGACTCAATTCCATCAGCCACATTTCTAATGTATGCTGTATTATAATACTTTGAGTAGTTCTCAGATAATTAACATTCGGTTGTTTTTTTCTTTGCTTTGACGTTAGTCAACTAGTGCTGTTATATTTCTCACGTGTTCACTGATAGTTAGTTGTCTTTCAGTCAAGTGATCCGTCACAAACCACTTGACCAGTTATGCTCTTTTATCATAACTAGACCCTACTATTTTCTGTGAGCAATTTGTGAAATTTTATTCGCTGAAAATCCATTTTATTCAAATATTATGCGTCAAGACAATGTTATAAAGTCTTTAATTAACTTTGTCAAATATTCAACGAGGCTCCATTTTACTGAGGTTCTTGAGTCTAGAATTAGTATTCCGGGTTTTTTATTACTAGTCTTCTACTGTTTGCACAGTGCCATTTAACTTGTTTTGCGATAATGACTTTCATTAGTTGACGTCATTCAGTAAACACTTCAGTGTGCGTTTCTCCTGCGTTCTCCCGTTAGAAGTGATATGAGATATGGTGAGCATTATTTTAGTTAGGTGTAGAGTGTTAGTTAGGGAGGGGGAATCAATCGATTAGGTCGTTAAGCTACAGTAATTTAGGCAGTTAAGACACGTGTTACGCATGTTGAACTAAAGACTTCCTCGACAAGCAATTTCACCTACCATCGGATTAGATTGGAGAAATTCTAGAATTGATCAAACCAAAACCTGTCACGAGTTGATGAAGTCTTTGACTGTTGATTTCAGCCAGCCACATATGGAGATGTAGACTGCCTAGTTGGGGTCCTCGAGATTCTAGAAAACTAATGGCTATCAGACTGGTAATGATATGACTAAAATTCGTTGTCAGTGGCACAGATGCGTTTACTCTTTATGATGTTCTTAATCTATTAAATCCGTCTAATATGTCTACCTTTCTTTACTAAAAAGCAAATGTGACAAGTTGAACTATGATGGACTTCTGTACAAAGTTCTGTGTTGAAATTCAGTCAGTCAGTCATTTATGCGTTTCTCTCGAGTGGAAGTCATTTTCCATTTAATGAAGCTGGCTTACAAAATTCCTTCTGTTGAATAGAATAGATTTGTAACTCTTTTTTTTCCAGAAACCTTTGTGTTACGTGTAGAGAGTTGAAGGAAACCAGTCTGTTTCTCTTTTAATTCGTCTTTTCGTTTATATGATTCAATAGGGGGTGGGGTTAAATATATCAACAAGTCCATCTTTTAGAAGCAGTTAGATCCCTTTATGAATTTTGATTTTTTTAAAATCAGATAAACTACATCTTCTTTTCTTTTCCAATCACAAGAACTATACGAAAAGTTATCAGTCTGCACTCAAAATTGAATTCAGGAATGTAGTTTCGTTTGTGCCCTGTAAATAAATTTTCCTGATTATATCTTAATTAATGTTTGCTTTAAAATAAGAAAGCATCATGTAAGTGGTCCGGGGTTCGATTTCTGGTTGGCGTGCCCCTAAACCTAACCCAGACTGTAGTTAGTCCCCGCGAAAGAGTGAAGGTTGAGTTTAAGGCTAGCGAACCCGTCCCACTGCCGAAACTTCAAAGCTCAAGGCTTGCTGTCCTATGTTCCAAGCGGAACGCAAAGGGAATGATGTGTCTGATGCTCTATGTCGCACTTGCGAAACCAAAAGATGAATAATACTTAATAATGATAATAATATCTTTTGTTATTTTTGGTTTTCTTCTTCAAAATTTACAGCATCTGATATGCTACCGAAACGACTTGGTGTTGTGTATACACCTGATCAAGTTTGGCGTAATCGTAATGATACACTAACGGCGAATAGTAATACACCGACACTGACAAAACAGACTATCACAGACTATACTCCGCCTATAAAACCTCCATTGAAAGATCATTCAAGTTATAATGGCAAATTAGTAAGTAATTAAATTTTTTTTGTAAAAAAGAAGTAAAATTCTTATTTTTTAATGTTTTATAAAAGTTTTAACCTCTTATTTTATCTATGAATGGTTTAGTGGATGATTCTTTGGTGTTTGAAACAAAAGGTACTGGGTCCGAGTCTCAGTGAGAGAACACCATCACTCCTCTCTTGGGATTGTGAGTGCATCCAGTTGACGAATCGCAGACAGGACGAAATGCTTATCCTGGATTCCACTGTTAGTTATCATTCACTAAATAACATCAATGTTAATCCCCAGATATTGTGAAAGCGTCCGTAGCAGGAGCTGACATGTCCTCAGGAGAGAGGGGAACATTTTGGTTCAGTTAAACAGTGGGGAAAACAAATTTAACTTTCTCTCTCCTAATTGAAAATGATACAAAAGACTTTGTACGCTTAAACAGTCTTGCATGTTGTTGATGCATACAAAGCTTTCAGTACATGTATGGTATGTATGCGTATTCGAGCATCGCTGTCTCCTCAGGATTGCTTGCGTTCAATGGCATGATTGCCTGGGGAATGCTGAGGTCCGATGGCGTGTGTTTGGACACAGTGGAGATCAACATTCATTGAATGTCGTCGTCATCTGGAAACACCGGCTTCGGCGGCTTGGACATGTACTGCCAATATCATCCCAGAGGCTTCCGTACGAGTCTCTGTTCGCTAGCCCTAGGATGGGATGGAAAAAGCGGAGAAGTGGTCAGTCCATGACATGGCGTCGTGTGATGAAGGATATTTGTGTTAGTTTAGCGTCATCGGTTGGTGCATCACGACTCCATGGTTGGAGTCCCAGAGATAGCTCAAATAGATGGCTTGAAACGTTATCGGATATGGCTAAGAATCGCGATCATCAATGGCGAACGTGCTGCAATTTCCTTCTTTCTTCCCTTCCCGACGATAATTGACGAATGCTGTTTGAACTCGTTAAATATGACTCCCTTACAGATGAAGTACTTTATCTGTTCTCCATCTATATTTTTACTTTCATTCTATGTTGTTTTATTATAATTATGTGGTGCATCTTCCTGGTGCCATATTGTACCAAGTATTTTGTGCTTAAATAATAAATAATAATAACATATTTGGTAACATTTAGCCTTATTCTGATTACTATCGCTTCATAGTTTGTTATCTCTGGTTGCTTACAACATACATGTACATCACACCACCACAGTATTATTCTGCAAATATATTCGTTCTTTCTTTATTTAAATCGAAGTTTATATTTATAAAATAAGGCCATTGAGAATGCTCGAGTTAACCTCCACTGTGTAGGCACTTGACTTGGGTTCAGATCCCAGATGGGATGGACATGACTTCCTTGAGGAATACACATACGCTGTGCTTGCTGACTGGTGAGTACCGACAAGCACGAAACCTTGGTCAAACAGAACATCCTTCTGAATGCCTGCAACCATCTAATATTGTATACATATTTTTGCATTTTTACCTCCGTTATCTTTATTTTTCTTTTTTTTTTTTAATGTATATTTATTCTAGCGCTCTCGAGTCTCTCCATCTCATTTGCCTAAAACAATATCAGTGAATCCAATAACCTCTTCAAGTCCAATGAGTCTGTCATCTGTCCTATCGAAATCATCAAATTATTCGCCTACTTTAGCTACATCAGCTTCAATAATAACTGCTGCTGCAATGAAAACTGGTGGTGGTGGTCGACGTTACAATATATCAACTAGTCAATTCTCTCCAAAATTTGCAAATAATAATCCCAGTTACATATATGTTAGTAATCAAAATATGAGAATGAATCAAGTTCTTCCGTCGAAATCGGAAATCCCCTATTCACCAACATATAGCAGTAGTAGTAGTGGTGTACTTAGTAGTGTTGGTGGTGGCGGTTATGCACCATCAGCTGAAAATCGATTAAGAAATGCATCGAATATTCACAGTCCATCACAGGTATGTCAATGTGTATAATTAGCATTAAATTGTGGCCATATAATCATAATATTGTTTTTTTCTTTTTTTGTAATTAAGATAATATGAGTCAACAAAGAGAGACACCTTCTTTTGTGTAATGTCACTCCAAAAGTTGTACAGAGGTATTATTATTATCATTGTTTCCTTTAATTCCTAGAGAAACATAGGGCTTCAGCCGTGCGTCTCCATTGCGTTCGGTTCTCTGCTAGAGTTTTCACCTGGCTCCAAGTCTGCCCACACGCTTTCATCTCCTCTTCACATGACCTCCTCCAAGTCACCCTTGCACTGACGCCCAACTCGCCGCTTCCCTTTCGGGTTCCACTCGAGCAATGGCTTGTCTAGTGATGTCACTTGATGGTTTCCTCAGAGTATGACCAGCCAATCCATCTCCATTTCTTCCTGCTTATTTGTTTCACAATTGGTTCCTGGTTGGTTCGCTCATTGCCAGAGATCTCTGTTGCTGATCTTTTCTGGCCGGCCATCTGATCTTGAGTATTGATCGAAGACAACTGTTAATGAAGGTTTGTAGTTTGTTTGAGATGCTCTTTATGACGCGTAGTGCAAGTTTCTGACCCATATAGTGAGTAGCACTGACTTCACATTGGAGTTGAAAATCTGGATCTTATTATTGATGCTGAGTGCTGTTGACCTCCACACAGACTTGAGAGTAGTGAAAGCTTGTCTTGCTTTTCCGATCCTCGCTGCTTTGATATCCTCGTCAGTTCCGTTGGCCTGTAGTTGAAACGATGCTTCCCAGGTAGGCAGGTGAAGGAGGTTGTTTCTTTCAGGTTCCTCCCATTTATGCTGATTGTTGTCAGTTGTTGTTGTTGCTGTTGGTGGTGTTGACCAGGAATCTTCATCACCTCTGTCTTCTCTATGTTCACCTGAAGTCCTATCTTTGATGCTTCTTCTATCACCGACTTGTTGCTTTTCACTTGCATATCTTCCAGTTTGTGGGAAATCAGACATGTATCATCGGTGAAGTCCAGATCCTCCAATTTTTTTGTGTGAGTTCATTTTATGCCTGTTTCCTCATTGTCCGCTGTTTGTCGTATTATTCAATCTACTGCAATCAGGAAAATCATTGGCGATAGTAGGCAGCCTTGTCTTACTCCTGTCCTGTACAGAGGTGGGTGAGTAATAAGTTTGTTTGCAAAATTAGCGATGATTTCCAAATTGCCATTCGCGCATTTAGAAAAAACAACAACAGATTGAGCGGAGAAACATGCATTTCTTTTCAATTAGTAGTTCCTCATCATCCACTGGCTCTACACTAATATGCACTTTATACATCAAAACCTTTTTTACTAATCAAGTGGTTATTTCAGTCCATCAGTTTTAGGTATAGGAGGGAGGTTGAAATTAAAGGGTTAAAAGTCATCAAAACAAATAACTAATAGATGCTAGTAACAAGATAACGAAGTTTTGAAGGAGGGGTGAATATCAATTATGGAATTCAAAATAAGCTAATTCTTAGATGTATATTTTTTATTTCTTTACGTTCCCAGGGAAACATATGGCTTCAAGATAAAGGCTTGAAATTTCGGTAGCAGTGGTGTTAATTTATACGGGATGGGGTTGCTAGCCCCATACCCAACCTTTCCTATTTACCAGTCTTGATACTGCCTTAGCGATATTCAGGAGTGCGTTGGCTGGGGATCGAACCCTGAACCACCTGGGTGGCTGGTGAGCATTCTACCTCTGTGCCACCGACGCATCTAATTCTCACATGTTAGTAAGAAGTTATTAAATAATCAAGAAATCTGTAGAATAATGATGACTGAAAAGGATAAGGTGACTCAGAAGAATTACGTAAAATACAAACAAGTTAATAGAATTAGCTAGAATTGTAAAAATCAACAAAGTCAAGGAGAGGGGAAAATGGCTATTAAGAACTTAATACATATTAAGTAGTTAGCCATGGCAAAGAAAGGGGCTGTGTAAATTTCCTCTGAACACACAGATTTAGCTTGTTCAGATGAATTCCGATTGCCTCTGCTACATGTAAAAGTCGTACTCGTAGACCATGTGAGAGGTTGGGTAAAATATAATAAATAACTTAAAGAGCTTTATTAGAGTTGTCCAGTATCGATGAGATGAGCTAGTGTTATTCAAACCTTTACCAAACCAATATGGGAAGTGTTCAGAAATTCGACGATGACCTAGCCTGATCGTACGTACACCTAATGTAACTAGCTCCTCACGAACAGTTAAACTGTTAAATATACATGGAAGAGGTGACTCAAGGCAGTTTGCCTTTATTTCTGGAACTAAGTATTGGTTGTCTAGTGAATATACAGCATAGCTTAGCTGAGTTGAAGGTCCTTTGCAAGGCCCTTCTCACTCAGATGTTGTGATAAGATCTCAATACTGACATCACCCGTGAATTGTAATCTTAGGAAGACTGATTTTTTAGGAACAGTTGACACTTTCAACTTTTTACTTGATGAGTACATGTGTTTTCTCAAAAATTTAGTTGGATATCCGTTTCTACTCAGTAGATCATCAGTATTACCAAGTTCTTCGCTCAGTGTTATTTGTATAATTCTAGCTAATTCTATTGACTTGTCTCTATTTTACGTAATTCTTCTGAGTCATCATTGCTGTTTTACAAATTTATCACGCATGTAATAACTTGTTCCTAATGCCTAAGAATTAACTTATTTTGAATTCCGTTATTTATTGTCACCCTCCCTCTTCAAAATTTAGATATCTTGTTACTAACATCTATTAGTTAATTGTTTTGATGACTTTTAACCTGTTAATTTCACACCGACCCACACCTATACCTAAAACTGATTGACTGGAATAACCACTTGATTGGTAGAAAATAAGCTTTGATGCATAAAATGTATATAAGTGTAGAGCCAGTGGATGAAGAGGAACTAATTGTAAGGGAATGCATATTCTTTCACTCAATCTGTTGTTGTTTTTGTCAAATTTTGTATTAGTCTTATGTAATCAAAAGGGTTGACAACGAATTACTTGACTGATGGATAATCCTTTGGAAATAGTCAACAAGAGACAAGGGGACAAAACATTGAAAAATGAGTTGTGGAAAACAGCAGGTGAACTACATTAGGCTAATAAACCAGTTATCCAAGAAGAGAAAGAAGGAAGAAAAAAGAAAATGAGAAAAAACTGGTACTGGGTCCATGGTAGTAAAAGACTTTGGGTGAAACGTTTCTAAACACAAAATTTAGTCTTCTCCTTAAGGATTTTTAAGGCTTCAGTTGCATCAAAAAGATGTAAGCGAAATCCTTTCAAACGACTTGGATGTACTTTACGTATGACTCTGAAAGCAGTCTCTGATGATGCTGCATCACCAGAAGTAATGATATACTCCAGAACTGATCTGTTAAACCTTCTAAGTTCTTCTTTTGACAACCGTGCTGGTAAGTGTTCATGGGTACGTGTAGACAGTATCCTGCTGGTATGGTCTGTGTACGTAGCTCCAAAGGAGCAAGCGAATAGGTGAATGCACATTGAATTTGCTGATAGTGGGATGTTGTCTTCGACGTTTTGGCAAATAAGAGCATGTGTGGAGTAGGTGAGGTTTAGACATGCAGTAAACACCGTTCTTCATTCAACAGTTATTCTTTCATGAATATAATGGTACTTACCTGGTTGATTGTCTTGTGCTCTGAATCAGCGTTCCAAGGTCATTGGTGCTTTTGTGCCTGTTGGATTTCTAAAGTTTAACTTAGTCCTTGCCAGATAGTCTCTTAGATTAGCCAAAGTTTCTCCTCTAAAATGTCTTCAAAAATCACCAGAATACAATGGGTACACATTTAGCATAGAAATGAAAATAATGTTAATCTCACTGGTTGTTAAATAAATATACGAACGGGATCACACAGATAAGTGTCTTTTGATACCCGTGGCCTTCTTTAACAAATTAATTTGTCATTTCTACTCACACGCATGAGTATGAGTTTGATGTTTTTGTATGAGATGTAATTAAGACTTTGAGGGAAAGTCGATATAGCTGCAGACCTTCGAACCTCCTGTATTAGTCATTGCTTCAACCAAGAACAAGCGAGGATCGGTAAAAGCAAGGTAAGCTTTCATTTCTCTCAAGTCTGTGTGAAGGTCAACAGCATTCAGCAGGAAAATGAAAATAAGATCCGAATTTTCAACTCAAACGTGAAGTCAGTGCTACTTTATGGATGAGAGACTTGCCACAGACCTTCATCAACAGCTGTCTTAGCTCAATCCTCAAGATCAGATGGCCAGAAAAGATCAGCAACAGGGATAGATCCTGGGAGCGAAGCAACCCAATAGGAACCGATTGTGCAAAAAATATGCAGGAAGAAATGGAGGTGGATTGGATTGGCCATACTCTGGGAAAACAAACCATCAAGTGACATCACACGGCAGGCTGTCACTCGAGTGGAACCCGAATGGGAAGCGGCGAGTCGGTCATCAGTGTGAGGGTGACATGGAGGAGGAGATGATGTGAAGAGGAGATGAAAGCATTTGGGCAGATGTCGAGCCAGGTGAAAACGTTAGCAAAGAACCGAACTCAATGGATCTGTGCAACTGAAGCCCTATGTTCCTCTAAGAACTAAACTAAACAATAATAGTAATAATCAGCCAAGAACTTTGCCTGTCAACTATTCAAGTTATGTTTCTGTGAAAAGTTAATTGATTTAAGGGTATAGATTGGTGTCTTTGAGAGAGGGGGAGAGAGGGAATAAAGCTTCATAGATGTGACAGGTCAGCCATTCACTGATTATTCCATAAAACAAGGGGTAGCTCTTCTCAGTGACTTATTCCCATATGTGTATACTTCTAATTCCAATGTTTCTTTTGTATACTCCAACTCTTCTTTTTTCTAATTATGATTTCACACTTATACCAAACCATTTATTAGACAATAACAACACCAACAGCAGCAGCAACAACAAGAAGAAGAGGTCAGTCTTATCGAAGTTCACAAGATGAAAGTTATGCGACTACAAGTGGTCGTCATTATCGTACACCGATGAAATTGCCCACTTCCAATTCGAATGATTATAAAATCATACGTCGATATGAATTAAATAATGATAATGTTATGCTGGTATCTGTTACACCAAGAAAGCCTACGGGGGAAGAGGAGGCGGAGGAGAATTCATCCGTAGTCCCTGTAATGTATAAGTCGTATCATCCATCGAATACATCAAGATTTACACGGAATAAAGAAATCAGTATACATCGTCAAAGTGCTGGTAGGTTGTTTTATCTCTCTCAGTGCTACATTTTTTTGAAGAATATTGTATATTAGTATGTGCAGAGGGGATTCTCAGTTGATATACTAACTTCCCAAACTTAATGCCTCTTATTTTGACTCCTAAAGATGGAGATTTGAGTTTGGGTTTACTTGGTGAATTGCATACACTTTTGTATCCATTAATTGTTATATAGTTGTCGTCAATTCTATCTGTCTGGTTTCAACATAGAACTTTGCACTGGTGTGCAGCAGTTCGAGTCGCCACACTTCACTCAGCACACAAAACCAGAGAAGAAGAAGAAAGTGAAAAGAAATGCAAAACAGAGACAGTAAACAGAGAAATGAGGCAAAAAGAATAGTAATATCGAAGAACAATATAGATTTATTGGGTATTATAAGTCACAAAGAGTGGATGCATCTGCACTAGCCATTGAGAACCGTTTTGAGCCATATCATCAATTGTCTCCAGTGTGCATTGGTTTTTACCGTCCCGAGGACCCAAACCAGTCAGGAAGTCTACACCTTCCTACGTGGCTTGAGCTAACTGTTGTGGATTTCATTGACCATGTTTTGGTTTGATCACCATTTCTGGCTCTTTTCCAAACTGACCGTATGTCAGCTAACATTTCCCATTGTCGAGGAAGGCGATCGATGGCTAGGCATGCGTAACACATGTCCTAACCGGTTGTCGTCAAAATGTCGACGAAATGCCGAGTCTTCTGAATACCTTGATCAGCAATCTTCGTATGTTTGGCATGCAATTCACCCCTGTAAAATGTAAGATGCTGCTACAGGACTGGACTACGTCAACTCCTAGCTTAGTGATAGGGAGTGAAGTGACAGAACATGTTGACCACTTCACCTATTTGGGAAGTTGTATCAGCACCAACGGACTGATTGGTGACGAAATCTCAGCACGGATCCAGAAAGCTCGGGCTGCTTTCGCTAACTTACGCCATCTCTGGCGTAGGCGTGACATCTGGCTATCAACCAAGGGACGTGTGTACTGCTCAGCAGTTCGCTCCGTCCTTCTCTATAGCTCTGAAACATGGCCAATACGAGTTGAAGACATGAAAAGGTTGTCTGTTTTTGACCACAGATGTTTACGATCTCTTCCTCGCGTTAGGTGGCATAATAAGGTAAGTAATGTTGACATTAGGCGTAGAGTGTTGGGCAGAGAGGGAAAATCAATCGAAGAGGCTATAAAGTTACATAGATTGAGATGGTTAGGTCACGTGCTGCGCGTGCCTAAACATCGCCTCCCCCGACGGACGGGCATTACTAGCTGATATAGGTGCAGGTTGGAAAAGAGTAAGTGGTGGCCAAACAAAAACATGGCCTCATCAATCCATGAAATCCCTGACAGTTAAACTGAGTCGGGTAGGGAGATGCAGACTTCCGGGTTGGGGCCCGCCCTCGGGACTCTAAGAATCAATGGCTGGAGACAATAGGTGACATGGCTCAAAATCGTTGTCAATGGCTTACGCAGATGTATTCAGTCTCTGTAATCTTTCATATTCCTTTCTACCATTACTCATTCTGTTTCACTCTTATACTTGTCAAAACTCTATTGATTCTCTTCACTCATCTTCTTCTATATTTTTGTGTGCTATTTGGAACGTGACAACTCGAACTTCTGCACTTCGGTGCCAAGTTGTATGTTGAATCCAGACAGACAGACAGACCTAGTGGACTTTATACATGTGAGAGTATAATAATACTGACGAAATGAACAACTCAACTGATAGGCTAAATACGTCTATTCGTCTGTGGTACCTTCCACTTCGATGAGCCACGTAAATATCAAAAGACAAAGACTGACCTGTAACTGTTACAATACAACTTTATTTTTAAGCATATTAAATTCTGCCTAAGGTAGTGGAAAATAGATATTTCTAATTATAAATAGGCGATTGGCGTAAGACTGACGTTAGAGCAAAGAATAGATGATGAAATTTTACAGTCTTCTAATCAAAACGTGATTCCCAATTTTAAGCCGATTCCCATCATTAATCATGACTGTACTAACTCATTCGTAAAAGGTTCAACTTTCCAAATTGTCCAGGTGTCATACAATCGATTCAATGGTCTATACCCATCACTTCATATATACTGTGCCGTAGCAGTTCACTCTGTCTTTTTCTTATTTATTGCTGTGAGACATACCCATTGAAAGTGAAACATGTGAAAAGATTTACTGTCTTTGATAGCGTTCCATCTTCTATTCTAGGTAAGTCGTTTAATTTGAGTACCAATATTAAGTTTAGACGTGGAATTTTTAGGTAAGTGTGGTTGTGTTGTGAAGCCACATTTATTGTGATGGCTAGTTAGTTAATGATGTGTTGAATAAACCAAGCCACCGCTTTCCTCGACAAACAATGTTAGCTAACATAGGATTAATTTTCAAGAGTTGGTTTGTAAGGATTAGATTTGTTTTTACGAGTTTGACCACGGATTGATATCAATTAGAGAACCATTGAAAATCAGTATAGAGTACTGGGCAGCTGTTTCATCCTAGTTTTTGGGAATTATCGGCAGTACGCAACCACCGCCAAGGTTCGAACCCAGGACCTTCCGGTTACAAGGCAAGCTGGCTCGTATGCCATTTAGCCACTGGGACCCCATTCAATGGCCAGTCCGTGAATTCTAACTTCTACCAGCTCGTGATTTAGCGCGACCACCAACCAATGTCATCGGTTGGAAATCCATCCTCACACTTGACTGGTGCGACCTTGTAACCGGAAGGTACTTGGCTTGAACTCCTTGTGATGGGTGCGTATTGCCGATGATTCCTAAAAACTAAGATGAAACAGCTGTCCAGTACTCCCCCCAGCTGGTTTTCAATGGTTCTCTAACTGATACCAATCCGTGATCAACGTCGTAACAACACTGGATTAGTTTGAAAAACCTGGACACAATCTCTGTATGGTTTGGTCCAGCCAGCCACTTAAGAAGAATGCAGACTACCTGATTAGGGTCATGAAAGTTGTTTAGAATCAATGGCGCAAGGTTAGTGGTGATATGCTTCAAAGGCGTTCTCAGTAATGCAGATGCTTTCATTTTTTATGATATCTCATATCGATATTTTTACATGTTGGTCCTTCTTTGTTTCCCTTGTGTGTGTGTGTGTGCTACGTGGAGTGTGACAGCTGGAACTCCAACACATCTGTGAGGAGTTTTGTGTTAAAACCTGATCAGAATTAATGGTAGCTTGAAGAAGTAGTTCGGCTTTCTACGATGAGATTTATCATCAATTTATTTCGACTTCTGTTTACTGAAGTGGGTTGTTTCCCAGTAGGTATATTAGTCAGGAGTACATCTTGTATAGTTGATGGAATCATTAGATTAATATAGGTGGACCTAGACTTGGTACTTCTTGTCAATCTTTAATATTTTAGATTTGTTAATTGTTTGACAGTGATATGAAGTAGCATTTGGGTATACTAATGGGTTGAATCGTGCGTCGGTGGCATAGCGGTTAGGACGCTCGTCGACCATGCATATGGTCCGGGGTTCGATCCCCGGCCGGCGAACTCCTTTACCTCGCTAAGCCAGTAATAAGACTGGTAAAGAGGAAAGGTTGGGCATGAGGCTAACAACCCCATCCTGTCAAAATAAACACTTCTACAGAAACTTCAGGCCTCTAGCTTGAAGACCTATGTTCCACTCGGAACTTGAAGGAATAAAAAAAATGGGTAAAATCTTGAAATAACAGTGGTATGTGTGATAAGTTTTAGTTTTTCTGCTATCACTTAGAACTTTGAGCACTCTTTTCTATGATCAGTCGTTCTCCACTTAAAAGAAGTATATGTGTTTATTCTCTTTAATAGAATTATCATTCTTATATAAGTAGGTTTATATTTCAAGTATTGAAAATCAATACTGGAATACTGGACAACCTCGAGTTTCATCAGCCTCATCGACAGTACGAAACCCCCGGACCTTCGGGTTGCAAATCAATCTCGTAGACCATTTAGCCGGTGGGACCAACCGACACAATCGCCAGCCCATGAATTCTGACTTTTATCAAGTGGTGATTTTAGCGCTACTGGCACTAGCCAATGTCATCGGTAGCGATTATTTGTCCTCACTCCCAAACGCCTGGACTCCACTTGACACAAGTGAAATCTCTACAAACAAACTGTTGATAATTAGATTTCTTACAATTTACTTTCTCTACTGGACACTAGTCAGTAACTAGTGTAATGTGTCTAGTCCTTTGTTTTGGTGCAGACTGAATTTTATCAGTGGAGTTCGCAACTTGGCCACCATGCCACTAGGCTGTTTGCCATTATGGTACACTGTGAATTGTTGGTACTAGATGGTTGGGGGCAATCGGAAGGAAGCCTTAGCTCGTTGGCACTCACCGGTCAGCAAGGTGCATCTGTAACCTTGGAGGAACTCATGCCCCTCCTGAGATTTGAACTTGCGTCACCCAGTGCTGCAATCAGTCAGATACGTTACCACTAAGCTATTTGGGATCGCGATTGACGTCCTATGGGATTGTATTGGATATTTTTGATTGGACACTAATCAGTAACTAGTGTTATGTGTCTTGCAAATTTGACTGATAAAGTTGAGTCTGCACCAAAGATAGGATTAGACACATTACACTAGTTACTGATCCAATCAAAAATATCCAATACAGTCCTACAGGAGGTCGATCGCAAGCCCTATTAGCTCAGTGGTAACACTTCTGACTGCCTGCAGCACTGGGTGATGCAGGTTTGGACCTCAGGAGGGATATGAGTTCCTTGAGGGTTACAGATACGTTTCGCTGACTGGTGAGTGGCAACTAGCACGAAACCTAGGTAGAAGGCATCCTACCGATTGCCTCCAACCATCTAATTCACTTTCTCACTTCGATTAACGTGAAGATAGCTTAGTTCAAAGTGGTTGTCATACAGAATATCCAAGGGAATTCACTTAGCGTGAGCGGATTAAAGTATCATGTATCCGTAAATTCTATTTGAATTCCATGAATTAATGGACATATATATATATATATAAACTTTTGGCTGAATTTAGATTCTACCTGTAAACAAATACAAGTGAATAAATAAATCTACATGTTTTCGTGGATTAGTTTGTAGGGATACGATTTATTTTCCAAGTGTGTCATCACGGATTGATGTCAGTTAGAGGGAATCATTGAAATTCAGCAGGGAGTACTGGACAACTGTTTCGTCAGCTTAGTTCGGGACTCTCCCATCGCCCACCCACCTCCAGGGTTTGGATCCAGGACTTTCCGGTTACAAGGCAAGCTTGAACTAGAAATACAATGGGGTTTCCCCGTGCAGGTTCGTATCCTACTTGCGATGTGGGGATTTACGACCTTGTCTGAAAGTTCTGAGTTCAAAGCCCGTTGGGTACGTATTACTCATGAGTCTTAAACTAGGCTGACGAATCAGCTGTTCAGTACTTCGTACTGGCTTTCAGTGGTTCTCTAACTGATATTAATCCGTGGTGGAACTTGAAATTTACATATGTTTGCTAACTTTCCCCTTTATTTTAAGTTGGATTTTGTTCTTTGGAAAGGATAACACATCTAAAAATTAGTTCCCTTATAAAATAAGATTGGTCGAGTATGTTTTTGTTTTTTGCAAGTTTTGCATTGTAAGGAAGGGGGAGTTTCATCGCTTTCAGGATAGATTTTGTCACGAATCGATCGATATATCAGTTTCAGAACTGTTGGAAACTAGAGAGGATTGGAATCAATCAGATTCCCCTACAAGTCAATACTTAAAATTAATCAACTTCTCATCAATGACTAACTATGGGACGACAGATTATCTGGTATTGTTAGAAAAGGTTATGTATAACTGGTTGGACTCACCAGGTAGGCTTCGTGTGCTTTTGGAAGTGTGTGGGCGGTTGTTACTTCCCGGCTGCCCACACAGCGGAATTTGGTTGAGTCTTCGGGTACCTGAAATAGAGAAAAGGTTAGTGTTGCGTGACCGCAGAGCCCAGGGGACAACTGCTTGAGGCCGGTCACACGCGGCCTGTTTTTGTTTGTTCTTTCTTGTTTGGTGTGTCACAGTAGCATATTTATCACTTCTGCCCTGTGACTCGGCAGCAGGAAGCGCGGTCGTTGTTAATCCGGGCCCCGACTGATCCGGCATGATATTTTGTGAATTTGTTTGAATCATAGTATTGGATTGGGTAGCTGCTTTTTGTCTAACCGCTATCCAGACAACCTTTCTGGCATGGTAGGACCTACAGGAACATAAGTTCCAGCCAGTGTAGCTCGTTGGGTCATTGCGATATGCAAGCCCGACCACCACATCAAGGTAGTAGCTATCGGTCGGGTGGACTCACCATGTCAGGTGTTAGGACAGATAGAGTAGCCTATAACATTGGATGGAGAGTAGAGCTCTATCACGAATTGACAGGTGTTAGAAGGACTAGACATGTCACACTAGTTACTGACTAGTGTCCAGTAAAAATACCCACTACAGTCCTACAGGAGGTCAATCGCGAGCTCGAATAGCTCAGTGGTAACGTCTCTGACTGCAGGCGGCACTGGGTGACGCGGGTTCGAATTTCAGAAGGGACATGAGTTCCTTCTTTAAGGTTGTAGATGCGCCTTGCTGACTGGTGAGTGTCAACAAGCACGAAACCTATGTCCAGCCAAGGCTTCCTGTCGATTGCCTCCAACTATCTAATATCATCAAATCAATGTGCACCTTGATGGTGAGCTATGTAGAATGGTGGCTACATTGCGAACCTGACTGATAGAATTCAGTCTGCACCAACGATAGGACTAGGCACATCACACTGGTTACTAGTGTCCAATCAAGAATCCTTCTCATATTTTACCAGATAGACTAGTTCACTTATGTGTTGTTGTTTTTTTTGACTTATTTTTTTCACAGCATATGATGACAAGGTAACAAGAAGACCTGATTTGCCTAGCACCTTAATAACAAAAACGACAGCAACACCAACTCCAGAGATGGCAAAATCACGTCTAGGTCGATGGACAAGTGAACAAGTTGTATCATACAATACAGCCAATCGTCCTGCTTCAACTACCAGTTCTGAAATCAGTATTGAACAACAACCTTGGCAAAAACGTGAAGCTTCCCCATCAAAATATGATCATCAATCGAATACTGTAACAAAATCACCAATCCTTATACCATCACGGACATCTACTATAAAAAATACCTCTTCTTATGATGCTGGTATCAATAAACTCAATGATGAGAAAACAGCTCAACAACAACCACCACTACCACCGACAACAGAAATTTGGATTGTTGGCAATACCTCTGTTGTTGCCGCCAATCATAATATGAATCAGCCGAATCAACGGATGAATACAGCAATCTATTCACCAGTCAGTCCAGATTCATCCACTGGTTCTCAAGACACTAAATATTCTAATGCTGCATTCACTTCTTCGTCATCATTGTCGCCAAATTCTAAAAGAGTTCAAATTATCCGTGTAACAGACGATTTAGACAATACGAAAAAGAATAATAATAATAACAGCAACAGTAGAAGAGATCCAAGTGGTTATCGTTCTGGTATGACTATGAAGAAACCTTATTATGAATCTATGCAAGTAAGTAGTAGTGTAATGTAATGCATCTCGATTCACTCTCTCCACAACTGTCAACAAGCCCTCACTTCCCTCCGCCTCATACGATCTTCTTCATGTCACTGTCGCATACGCAGCCTATTGCTCCTTATTCGTGTTCAACCTTAGTTAGGACCTGGCGTGTGTACACCGCCAATTAAAGGTTACCTTAGCGTATGTCTGATCTATCTTTATCCGCTTCCTAGCTGGTTGAATCTATTTGAGTATACCTCTTCTAATTGGTGTTTATTTTCCTAAATGCGTTCATTATTTCCTTTATTTTAACAAAGCAACAACTGCAGTTTTAGCAGAATAAAATGGTACCATCTTTTATTTCGTCGCCTTCTCGTCAGCTGCTTACAGGGCAAAAACATTATTAAATGTATCTACAAAAACAATTTAACACACTTGCACAGAGTTCATTTTAAACAAAAATCAATCGATCAATATACGCATACACTAATAATATATACATACATATATGCAATATTAAACACTATTCCGAACAATAATAATCATACACAATGAAAACTTTTCAGCATTGCGCATTCAGATGAAAGAGAGAGATGAAAATATCCAGTTACCAGGGCAAAGAATGACTGATAACTGCTTCTTTCTGAACGCACAAATCAGGTTTTAGGCGCTTGATGGAAAAGGTTTCAGCAACCTTAAGGAGCATTGAACTCTTTTGCTTATTGATAATTTTGAATGACTTTTCGACGTCCACCTCATGACCCGTGTCAAGAAGATGCCTGGCGATGGCACTGCATAAAGCATTTGTCCCTTTTATACGTAAGCTTTTTGGTACATGTTCAGAAAATCGTAGATATGCTCTTCTTTCTGTTCTTCCAATGTAACTGCTCCTGTAGATACATGTAAATTTGTATATACAATTGGAGTTAACATGAGAAGGATATCTATCGATTTTTGATTGCACCAGAGAGCAAGTTGTTCGATAGACGGGAACGAGCTTAGCTGCAGGATAGGCTATGGCTAGTGATGTACTCAGCCTTCTGTTGATCATCGCTGCAATGTTTTCGCCTTTATAATCAAGCTCAAAGGCCTGTAAGCAGCTAACGAGAAGGCGATGAAATAAAAGATGGTACCACTTTATTCTGCTAAAACTGTAGTTGTTGCTTTGCTCAAATTCATTAAGGGGAATAAATGTATGAAATTTCCTTTATTGTTATTTAATTCCTTTACACTTTCCAAGTCGAAAATGCCGCTTCAGCCTAGAGCTTTGAGGTTTTGGGTTGCTAGCCTCATGCCCAACCTCCCCGTCGTTACCAGTCTTATTACTGGCTTAGCGAGGTAAAGGAGTCCGTCGGCTGGGGATCAACCGAATCTCAAACCAGGTGTGTCTGGTTGGAAAGAGTGTCCTGCCGCTGAACCACTGACGCACAAACTTGGCGCATGATGGACACAAACAGATGCGTCAAACAAAGTGGCGAGTGCTGAGACGCCCAGAAGAGTGAACTAGGGAACTGGGAAACGAGTAGATAAAACGACAACACTAATCTTTCTCATATTTATTGAAATTATTTGGAATTCGACTCAGGGGAATCGATACCTAATTGACAGCTTACAGTTCGAACAGTATTTCATAACACTTTTCTCGACATTTTATTTTAATAGTTGTGTATATGATTCACTATTACAATGAAGATCATAACGTACTCTTATAATCTCTTTAGAGCTCGCCTTGTAACCGAAAGGTTCTGGGTTCGAAGCCCTGTTGTGGGTGCGTGCTCCTGAGGAGTAGTCCCAAACTAGGCTGATGAAACTGCTGTCCAGTACTCCCAAGTTTTCCAATGCTTCTCTATCTAACCGATATCAGCTCATAATGAAATCCTGTAACCAATCAAATGCCTGCAAACGAACACTTGATTAACTAACCGTCTGGAAGATAAATGCACCTCATATACTAAGTCTCTTTATGGTAAAAATAAATGCTGTTACAATACACCTGTGACGCAATCTAACATTTTGTATAGGCTGACATATAAGTACACAACACAATGGCAGCCAGTCTGCTTTGATAATTTGTTTTACAAGTTATTCCCATAGAAGTTAAACTACACCAATATGACGATAGTGTGTGTGCGTGTATGAGCGATTACTACTTCTAGGCCTGCACACAACCTGTTGTAGTTCACTTTTGTCTTGAAGTAAATGAAATCGGAAAGAGTATTAATGTTTGATGACCGCCCAAAAGCGGCCCATAAGACACGTCACGAGATAGTTTCTAGACTTGCCTCTATGAAAAGACTTTACCACAGGCTATGAAACCTTTGCAGAATAATAAGTGGGGATATAAAACTTTTGGGAGCGATTTTTTTCACTAATCCCTTCTTCGAAGAGTCAGAATACATCACAGCTGACTGTTGTCACCCTACTGTTCGCCCCCAACAGTTTAATCACTATCCAAGTGACCTTTTTTAGATTGGTATTTTACCTGGGAGAACATTGTTCCAGTAAATTTATCTTGTTAGGTCATTACAACCTAAACAAGCCCGACCACCGCGTCAAGAGGTAACAGCTATCCGTCGATGCATGTTTGGTATGGCTGAATAATTCATCAGAGTAAAAGTTAAATCTCCCTCTTATATTTATTTATATATATTTCTTGTCAATAATTATTATTATTTGCCTTCCCCGTTAAATATTTTTTTATTCATTCATATTCAGCCTGTAAATGATTATGTTCGTCGGATACCGTCTACACCGAGATCGAATATTATCATGAAGCCAACAGAAATACTAATGCCAGAACCGAAACCAGTCTCAAAATCTGTCAGTAAAAAATTGGTAACAATTCAGTCGTCAAATTGAAATCTATGTTTATATATAAAAGCACATTTTACAAGGAATCACCGAATGATACTATTCTCTCCCTCGCCCCTCACCCGTCTTCTGTTATTCGACATACATTCACGCTACAATTTCTTCACCTTTTTGAGATTTTGACTCACTCATGAACCGAAAGCTGCTTAGACGTATATATAAATGTATACAACATAGTGAAATATTTGCTCATTTACTATTATTACTACTTATTTATTTATTATAAGCGTATTGTGATTTCTTACATTTTATAAAATGGCTTTTTGTTCCACTCTACTCCCCTCCTCCCACTCCTACTTACTACCACCAAGAACAGAGAAGACGAGAGACTAGAGATGCGCTTGAAACAAATATGCACTGGAAACGCATTATATCATATACAAATATCTTTATTCTTGTGATATTTATTCGTACGACTGTCGACCCCCCGCCGTGTATTTTGAACAAGTCTCAAGTTCCCTCACTCCTGTTTTGTTTTCTGTTGGTTATTCTTGTTATCCGTGGATCGTTTATCTAGCCAGCTGTACGCAATCAATCATAAAATTATTATTATTGTAATTTTAGTTAAACCTTCATTTATTTTTGATTATGTGATTATCTTTATATATATTTACAGTTATTTACTATGGGGAAATCCTTTTCCCTTCCTATTTGTTATCTTGCCGTTACTACTACCTTCTATTTTCTACTAATTAGCATTCCTGATCAGTGGATACGTACACAGATAGATAGATAGATAAATAGATTAGACGTTGAATGTTTTTCCCCCTTGTTTCGTGTCTTGATCTTGTCAAGTCTATGGTCCACATTTGTATTCCCGTATAGACATCTTTTTTTTGTTTCTCCTTTTTCGCATACTTAGAAGAGATAGTCGAATTTCTGTGGAGTGAAAATCAGAATTATTGTTCCCTCTCCCCCCCCACACCGCCCGAATGATGCATTATCTCTCATCTAATTCTACCTGTAGTAGTGGTGTTTTGTTTAACAGTGTTCAGTTATGTATGTATGTATTTATTGATCTCTTGAGATGTACTATATATATATATATATATATATATATATATTTATATATGTGTTGTTTCTATGGAAGGTCCTTTCACGAGCGCTTGTTCCTCCCCCTCCTCATCATCTTCCGTCTTGTCCTCAATGGATTTTGTCTTCTGTTTTGTAAACTTTCGTTGTCTATATATATATATATATATATATATATATATACACTACCGTATGACTTCTGTATACATTATTTTTTCGTTAATGTTATTGGTGTGTTATCCTTTATCATTTTTCTGATACTCCAGAGTTAGTTAAGCGAGCGAGTGAGCGCGCGCGAGAGAGAATAAGTATCCAATAGCACCTACTTTTGTTCCTCTTTGTCAGGTACACTTTCATCATTGAGGCATAGTTAGTTAGTTAGTTCAGTTAATGGTCATCATGTTGTACTGATTTTTGTTATCATTGTAATCTTCGCCAATGTCTTTGTCAGATCTCCAGCCTCTCTCTCTCTCTTCGTCGACCTCCTCTTCTAGTTCCCCTTTTGTACAAGCTTGGTTGTTTAGTACATTTTTCCTACTGTCTTATGTTGTGTTGAATGGACACACAAGCACACATACAAACATTTGGTCGTTTTTCCCATTCGCATTTGTTACTGCTTTATTTACAAGAAGAAAGAAGATAAATAAGGATGATTGAAAAATTCTATCCAGTTGTATCATAACAATGAGTAGTGTTCTCTTCAGTTTTGTTCCTTCCCTCTCTCTCGCGCGCGTTTGCTCTGTCTCTGTCTCTGTGAGTGTTTGTGTGTGTGGGTGTGTGCGTGTCGTGAAATTTAATTTTCCCTCTTTCCCTTTGTGTTAACTTTAGGACTTTGTTTATCAAATCGTTCAGTCAGTGAGTCAATCAACCATTCATTATATTCATTCATTATTATTACTTGAAGTGAAAAAGTGTATGTGTGGCATTTGTTTATGAATAAGTACTATATTATTATTGTTGTTATTATTACTAATAATAAGTATTCCTCTTCCTCGTGTTAATCTTCTCATTGATATGGTGGACATTAACGTCCTCTGTGCTCTCTCTCTCTCCCTCTTGTCCTCTGTCTCCTTCAATCATTCATTGTAATGTTATAATCTTCCTTCCATATCTTATTATTATTAGTAGTGGTATTATTATGTATATGTGAGTGGAGTGAGTAGTGACTGATAAAACAGGCTGTATGCAATGGTCACGTCTTTTATATTACTACTATGACTATTATGACTACTATTACTATTATGTCGTAATCTAATTAATCTCTTTGTAATGATATGAAAGCGTGTAAAATCAGATGAATTTGATTTATTTTTTACATAAAATATCTATCAATTATTATTATTACTTGTATTTTTTTTAAGCTGTTGTTTTATTTTCAGTCTGTGTGATAAGATGTGATGATGTGTGTTGATCTTTTACTGTGGATGTCTGTATTCCATAGGATTCGTGCGCCGGTTCGGAGTTCGATCCCTGGCCATTGACGCACTCCTTTACCTCCTCGTTAAGCCAGTGTAATAAGACTGGTGAAGAGGGAAGGTTGGGCATGCAGCTAGCAGCAACTCCATCCCGTAAAAGTGATAAAACACCACTGCTATCGGAACTTTAAACCTCTAGCTTGGAGCCCTATGTTCCACTGGGAACGTGAAGGAATAAAAAATTAAAATAAATTCCATTGGGTTCCGAGTGGAACGTGGAAATTCATCAGCAGCATATTTGTATTTCACTCTGTTCTTCGTAGTTCTTCATAGTTGGCTCCATGAACTCTCATCTCCTCCTTAGCCTCACATGATCTCTTCCCCATGTCACACTCGGAGCCACGATCAACTCATACTTCCCCATTCGGGTTCCACTCAGGAGCCTGTCTAGCACGTGATCTCCTCAGTGTGTGTTCGTTCAACCTCTGTTTCTTTCTATACATTTAAAAGAAAAGGCGTTTAGGAGAGAATTACTCTTTTTAGTGATGTCATTCTTAAGGTGTAAAATCGCATATATATATATATATATATATATATATATATTTGCTAAAATTTTCTTAGCAATAAAGAGAATATTTCCAAAGATATGCCATTGGAATTGTACATTTCTTGTAACAGAAATCTGGCATCTTGAGCCATGGATGTATGTTGTGTTTCGGAGACATGCACACAAGACCCGAGTGTAGTCATTCACTTAACCTCACCCTGCCAACAAGGTGGATCTGCGAAATTCACTTTAGGGCTGTCAAGAGACTCCTCAGCTAGCTCACGAGGACTCGCAGGCGTAAGAATAGCATTTAGTGTGAGAGCAGAAAAATCCCTTCTTCACTGGATCCCAGTAGGTAGTCGTATGTGTGTGGTCCGTTAAAAGAAGGAAGGAGGCGTTACCCGTCGTTGTCTTTTCGTAGTCTCCGCTTACGCCCCAACCGGCTACAGTTCGGATGAACTAAAAGATGACTTCTACCTGAAACTGTCTAATTTGCTACAAAAATCAAAACGTTCAGATATAGTTGGTTTAACAGGTGACTTGAATGCCCAAGTAGGGAAGTTGTACCAGACTGAGAAGTATTTAGGTGGTACGTATGGAGTTCCCTGCCGACGAGCCGACAACGATGACCGTCTTGTACAGCTCTGTTCAGATAATCATCTGTTCCTAGTCAGCACTAACTTTAGGCACAAAGAGAGACGCTGCGTAACATGCCGACCTTCGCCACCAAATCAACGTTGAACTGGGACAGACCATATAGCCATAGGGTATAGTTGGCGAGGGTCAGTAGAAGACTACTGATCCTTCTGGAACACGTGCGTAGACTCCTATCACGCCTTTGTTCGTGCACGTTAATGCTTACGATTAAACGTACATAAGAAATTGCTGGCATCGAAACAGTTCCGTCCCCAACTACATGGAGACTCTGAGTCCCTATTTAAGGAAGAAATAGCGAAAAGTGAATCTGAGGTCAACAGCAGGATTTCCTCTGAGGTAGCCTGGCACAACATACAGTTAGCTGTAGACACAGCTGTCAAAGCTGTTAATAACATGAAACCAAACGTTAGTAAGAGTCACTGGATTTCTATCACCTCATCCGAACTGATTGACGCAAGAAGACTGACTCTGGTGAGCACCGAATATGATGAGGAGCGAAAGTTTCCCAAACGTAAACTAACAAGTAGCCTCCGAAACGACCGTGAACAGCAGTGGGTGACAAGAGGGAAAGAGATGGAAAAGGCATCGGCGATTGGCAACACCAGGCAACTATTTAGGCCTTTCAGGAAAACAGGTGCTAAAAGGAAAAAGATAAGTGAAACAATCTCTGAGAAAAATGGCACCATAATTAACTCCCAGGATAGACGACTGGAAGGTTGGAAAGAACACTTTGAGGAGCAATTTAATTGGCCTACAAACACGTTTAAATTACCCAGCGTCCAAACCTCTCTGAATGGGATATAGACATAGGTCCTCCGTCCCTAACTGAGGTTACTAAGGCTGTCACTGGTCTGAAACGAGGCAAAGCAGCAGGACCTGATGGAATGACTCCAGAGGTGTTTAAGGATGGCGGAGACAGTTTACTGTCTGCGTTAACTAAGGTATTAGGCAGTGTCTGGGAATCAGAGGTGGTCCCATCGGGTTGGTGTAAGTCATTGATTATCCCGATATAGAAGAAGAGAGACAAGTCTTTCTGTGATAACCACAGAGGGATTAGTTTGACCAATCGTCATATTTATTGACCTGAAAGTAGCATTCAATTCTGTCGACCGAGAGGTGCTATAGTGATGTTTATCTGTGAAGGGAATGCCGAGAAAATACATCGGACTAATCAAGACACTCTAATCGAAATCATGCAGCCAGGTAAGAGCCTACTGAGAGTCGTCATCTGAAGTGGTGACAGCCATTGGTGTCCGTCAGGGATGCCCACTGTCACCATTTCTATTTAATTTCAACAAAGATTCACTAATGGACTTAACTCTAAATCACTTCACCAAATCAAGGATTGACTCGTTATCAGGGAAAAATCTCGTTGACTTAGAATATGCAGATGATGTAGTCCTCCTTCTAGGTGTAGACGCTGACAAAATGTAGAGTCTTCTGAACACCTTGAGCAGCAATCTTCCAATGTTTGGTATGCGATTCACTTCTGTCAAATGTAAGATGATCAGGCTACAGGACTGGACTACATCGACTCAGTCCTGGCTTATAGATAGGGAGCGAAGTGGTAGCGCGTGTTGACCACCTCACTTATTTGGAAAGTTGCACCAGCCCCAACGGGTTGAGCGCTGATGAGATCTGAGCATGTATACAGGAGGCTCGTTTAGCATACACCATTACACATCTCTGGTTTTGTAGGTGTGATGTCCGACTGTCGAACAAAAGACGTGTGTACTGTTCAGTTGTCCTCTCTGCCCTCCTTTATGGCTGTAAGACCTAGGCACTGAAAGTGGAAGACATGAAAGTGCTGGCTAGCTGTCTTTGATTGTAGGTGTCTGCGCTCTATTTCTCCTGTTAAATGGTTTAAGAAGGTGAGCAATATTGGGGTTAGGCATGGGTTGAGTGCTAGGTTAGCTGGAGGTGAAATGAGTCGACGAGGTTGCAAAGTTACACATATTGAGATGGTTAGAACATGTGTTAAGCACGCCTAATCAATCAATAAACATTGTTACTCATTTCATGAAACTTTTCTACCGAATTTTTCCCGAATAACTGTATGAGGGACCTCCCTAAATACTTAATGCGTAGTACAGTCTCGAGGGTTGACAGTAACAAACACACTGGAGTCGTTGTTTCACGTCTTCCATTATTCGCTTCGAAATAAGAGATTCAATGAGTTTTCCACTCCACTGAAAATAGACAGAGAAGTGGAAAACGATGAGATCCACTGATTCTGACATCTTAAATCATGTAAAGTTAGTGGTATCCTCATTATTTTTCATCATATTTTGTATAAAGGCTTCTCACTTAGTTGAGTTTTCAGTAGGAACAAGAGTAACGCTTTGTAACGACAGAAGACAAGGGCCAGGCAACAGATCGTTTATTGAGAAAATCAACAGATATTTGTAGATTTTTATGTACATTATTATTCGTTATTGTTAGCAGAGAAGCAACGTCTTCTGATTGGTTGTTTTCTTGCTCAAGGTTATTCTGTCATCTCATTGTGGCCGTTTCTTAGAAAGTCAGGCCATATATCTGCGAATCATATTTGCACACGATAAGTCTGCTGTGATTGGTTGTTGATTTCCTCAAGGTTAGGCTTTGTTATTGTTTTTCTCATAAACATAGACGTAAATTGTTGTGTATAATTTTGCCTAGCAGACAGCTCTCACTACAGCTTTAATATGGAAGAAATACACTGTCACTTCCAATACCTAGTCCACGATATACTTGAAACTGTTTTTCTGAATTAATTAATGCACACCTTCAATGATTCGTTTGCTGATATAACTTATTTGTGTAGAAAATATTCTAAGTAAACAACGGTCAGCGGTATCACGATTCTTTAAAAGCTTAAGCTTTGTTGAGTTTGGACTTTATGGAAACCAATCTGCATAAATGCAATGCATCTTTGAACCCTAATTATATATATATATATATATATATATATATATATATCAGTAAGAACAAGTAAATAACAAGAAACGTGTCACAAGTGTTTGCCTCCCTACTGCATCACTTCAACTCTCCTTTCGTTAACCTACTCGCCTAAAACTATTTTGTTCGCCACTTACTGACTCTCGCATCTATCATTTCAACTACTTCAATGAAGCCAGTTATATGAATAAGCCTAGCCTGTAGGAGCTTAGTTTCTGGGGTTCGCGAACATCCACTAATGTGGCTAAATAAAGGTGGAGTAGTAGTAAACCATCAACAGTTCGATGTAACACCACATTACCATAAGGCTAGAGCACTGAAAAGTCTTTTTCCCTCACCTCTCGGCCATCAAATAAACTGTCCAAAACAGTATCGTAACAGGTCTACATAGTTAGAAATCAAAATAATGATTGCACGTTTATGCGTAGATGTATGTATGTCACCAAATACACCCACTAGCTCATAAGGAAAAACACAATGGTTTTATTCAGTGAAGAAATATCTCTTTTCAACGACTTTATTTTCAAGCTAACTGTACAGTCGTATTTATCTTATTCTTATCATATGTATATTGACTAACCAATTTCTAGTGCCACTTATTGCCTTTTTCGTAATATAAATACGATTGTACGGCTTGTGAAATAACATTAGTAATAGTGACAATTGACGTAACAAAGGAAGAGTATACAAACTGAATAAACAAAACAAAAAATAGGTAGAGCCATAATATGAGTAAGGATTACCATACTTTAGCATAGAGGGATTAAGACCACGAAAGTTGGAGGGGT